AACCTCTGTAGCTCAGATATCTCTCCTTATCGTCAACTGCCACAGAGGTTTTGGGCCAGCCTGTTTCACATCTCTCCCTCACCCCTCTACCAGTCTCGATGTGGCTTCTTCTTTGTATCCTTTGTTATAAAACTTCTGTTCAGCTAGACTTCAGCTGGACTATAATTTAGTTGTAATTTTGATGTGTTCATGGGATGAGGCAAACATGGCATTTATCTACTCCACCATCTTGGATCTCCCATAGCTCATGATTTGGTTTTCTTGAATCTGCTAAGTCATCTGTTATGCAGCCATCTGGATCTCAGCTTCTAAAATTTTGTTTTGTCTTCTTTCATAGCCTCTCTATTCATGTGCTTTTATGTCTTTAAAAAATCTGGCTATTGCTCTGCAGGGATTCAGGTGAGAGTTAAAATAGATGCATACCTTCAATCCACCATCTTAACCCACAGTACATTCCAAAGCAACAAGCTTACAAAGGTGGCAAATGATTGGGCCAGAGTTAAATGTAACAGTAACAACCTTTGGGTCATGATGAACCACAAAATGAATATGAATTCATCAAATGATGCTGTTGAATTAAGAGTTAAAATGAAATTAGAAAATAATTATTAAGACGTGAAAGGAAATTACTCTTCTGATATTTTTGCCCCTTAGGAGAGAGCTGTATTGGATTTGGGTTTTCACATTTAAGAGATGTATGGGAAAAAGCCCTGGAATAGGGGAACCAAAAAGTGATTTACAAAACAGAGTACCAAGTCTATGAGTAAAAGATATTTAACCTGAAGGCTAAGAGCTAACAATATTTTCAAGTATATACCTGGTTTCCCAAGGGAAATACTCATTAACTACTCTCTGTTTCCATAACAGGGTAACAAAAGAAAATAAGTTGAAACTGTACCAAGAAAATGGGCAATTAAACATTTGAATGAGTATTAGGAGAAAAAGATGAATTTCTCTCTTTGAAAATATTTACAAATCTTATCTGTGAAATAGAAGGTAAACATGGGCCAGATGATATCTGAATGTCCCTTCCTTCTCTGTATAATGTAATTTATCACATTAATATTAATGCCTGCATTATATTAATGATCCCATTCTTCAAGGAAAGCAAGCCATTGGTCTGATTAGTTAGAGTGACTGTTGTGGGTTTGCCTTGGTAGATGGAATATGTGAGTTTGGTTTATGCAGCACCTATATAAACTCTTCAGTTTCCTGCCTCATTAGAAAGCATAGCCCAGAACAGTTTAATTGACAAAAGATACCTGAAAACAGAGGAAAGGCAATAAAGAATACAGGTCTTTACAATTTACTTAGAGGCTCAGAAACATATTATTTTAAACTACAGAGAATTAGAGTGGAGTACAGAAGAAGTAATTACTTTACTGCTAAATGACTATTCTGAGTATATCTTAAAGCTGAACAATTTACAGCTAGAGGTAACTATTTAAAAGAATTTTCTGTTTTACTAAAAATATTAAAAAGCACCCAAAGCAAATTACTTGTAAATTTAATCCTCTTTAATCCATTAAAGAGGAAAAATGAGTATTACGAATGTTTGTGTAGACATTAAAGGTAGTCAAAGAAATGTCTCAAGAAAAATTATACTGAAATACATATATAAGTTGAAATTAACAAATAATATGCAAAGTTTCAAACTATAATCATTGAATTTTATATTCTTTATAAAATACCCAGTTTACAGTTTAATATAGTAAAGATTTTATAACTGCATTCAATGTGATAATTTGCAAAATTATAACTATATATTAATTACAAATTTGTTTTATCTATTGCTACTGGAAACAAATGTATTAATATCAACCAAACATGGCCCAGGTGGGTAGTCAGGTAATGAAAAGTTTTACTAGAAGGCTAGCGATTTAATATCACTCTTAGGGATTATTCTTCAAATCCTAATTGGTCTCCCATCATCACTGTCAATCAGTCTTCGCCCAGAGATTCTAGCCCTGTGGGTGTTGTAACATTTTCATGCTGCTTGCTTTGTAATATAAGAATGTTAGGTTAGGGTGATTACTCTTTTGATAATTTCAGCTAATACTCCACATTTGTTAGGGCTTTTCCCTCAATAATTCTATCGGAAAAATTTTTACTTTCTTAGTGTATGGAACTATATTTTATAAACAAGTTTTTTTTTTTATTGAAAACCCATTGAAAAATAGGTTTTACTCCAGAGTCATTTGCTCTTTATCAAAATTTGTACAAAATACTTATTTAAGTAAAAATGTGCCTTTACAGTTTAACTCGAGAAAATTGAAATAACATTTTGCAAGGTTTGTATGATTTGGTGTTTGTTTTTTTCTAACTGACAGCTATAGTTTCTAGAATGTTTCTGTCAGTTTGTCCTTACTTGCAAATAAATACTAATTTAATCAGTAAAAATTTTCTAAAAGAAAATATGTCTGTACCAAACATATGCTGAATTTTTCACATTAAAGATTCATTTATTCTTACATGCTAGATGTATCTTTGAAAAACTTTGTAAGTTACTTTTACAAATGAAATCATTTGAATGTACTTTTTGAAGCAAATATCTGAATAGAAAAAAAATAATAATGTGGTTAATTTCTTTTTTGTTATGACAGAGATATGCCTTCCTCCAGTTTTCTATTTTAAATCTAGTGCTATATATATTAGATTTGTTAAATGTGAGGTATATGAAATATACAAACCAAGAAGTTTAATTAAAGAACCCAATTGTGTTTATAATGGATTTTAGATGAATTGACATTAATGATTTTACAAAAATAATTTCATATCATAGCAAAATATTGAATATGCTTGAGGTAATATTTAACTGAACAATGGCCTATGTCAGATTAGTAACCAAAAATTTTATAATGATAAGTGTAATCCTGGAGTGATTATTTTAAAAAGTAATTCTGAAAAGTAATGTCTTATATTGTATAACAGATTTCTAGTCATAAAAAGAGTTTATCAGAAGATAATCTTTATAGGGCATGAGGCTTACAAAAACATGCAGAATAGTTTTTTTTCGAAATGCTAATCTCTTTCAGGCTCTCTCCATGATTCCTGAACAAGAGCACTTAACACAAAAAGTATAAAATGCCCAATACAGGGCCCTGCTTACTGAGAATATTTAATTTAGTTAATAATATGTTTTGTTTAGGAATTTATTTTACAGTGATAATTCTTATTTATATTTTTATATTTACATTTTTGAACCTTTCTCATTATCCAGAGCTTTTCAATTTCATGAGTTATTAATATAACAATGTTCTACAGTGCATACTCACTTTCATCTAAATGTATTGTTGACTTATTAAGTCTCTAAGTATTAATAGTTGCGTGTCACCTGTGCCACCTATAAAGATGAGAGTTCATGGCCTAATGACAGAGCTCGCCTTGAAGAAAGTACCTTTAAACAGTCCTCCTGTCCCTCCCTGGATTTTTTCTTTAGGACCCAGATGAGCAATGCAGTGCTCCAGAAAGTTTGGTGGATCAACAAAAGGGCAAATGACAATGACATTTTCCTTGAGGAGACAAACATTGCCTAGTGAGGAAATATTCAATTCATAAAGATCACATGAGTCAAAGCCAAAAGATTTTGATTTTCTTTTTCTACATTTTTAAGTGTTCTGGATAATTTGTCAACTTCCCTTAATTTGTATGTTCTCAGTTTTAGCATTTTCTTCAGGTTCACAGAAACGTATGGAATTTTTTTTGTTGTTTTCACTCTGTCTACAATTGGAATTCAGTGAGAGAGTGGTCATCTGCACCAATGCAAAATTTTTTCCTTTGGCCAAATTAGACACACTTTCTACTAAAACCTTGGCTAACTAAACAGACTGACTAACTAGAAATCAAACCAGAAAATAAATTAATAATATTGAGGGTGTATAATAAGATATTTTCTTTAAAAAGCAAAAATTAGTTGTTGATAAAGTACGATATTTGCCCAGTATTGAAATTAAACAGTGAAATCATAGTGATTATGAAACCAATGACCATCTTTTAAATAAATAAACCTCTCTGATTAATAATGCAGTTTTGTTCAAGGATATAAAATGTCACCTACCGTGTGAGTTATGTATTGCTGCATAAGAAAATACCTCAAAAGTTTAGTGGCTTAAAACAACAGCATTTATTATTTCACATTTCCTGTGGGTCAGAGATTTGAAGGGTGGCTTAGTTGTGTGGTTCTGGCTCAGGGTCCATAATAAAGTTGCAGTCAGGATGTCAGCCAGAGCTGAAGTTATCTGAAGGCTTGACTAGGGATTGGCTGGAAGACCCACTTCCAAGTTTATTCACATGGCTATTTGAGGTGGCTTCAGTTCATCCCCATGTGGGTCTCTCCATGGGTCTTCAGAGCATCCTCACTACACAGCAGCTGGCTTCCCCAGGATGAACAGTCTAAGAAAGAGAGCAGCCAGGAAGCCACAGTACCTTTTATGACTTAGTCTCCCTAGTTGCACACTGTCGATTCTGCTTTTTCTCTATTTATTAGAAATGAAAAGTGAGTTCCAGCCCACACTCAAGTACGGGGGAATTAGGCTCAAACCTAATTCTATTTGGAAGGGAATGTCAAAGAATTTGTGGACATATTTTTAAATCACCACACATACATTCACAACATTGTTGGAAAGTGGCTTAAAAATATATTACTAAAACCAATTTTAAATATGAACCTAAATTCTCTCATAAGTCACTACCAGAATTTAGTTAGATTCTAGGTTATTGTTTTATCTGCTAGATTGGCTGCATCTCTGAAGCACTAAAAATTCTCAGATCCTCTGATTGGCACAGCTGGTCTGCATCTATATTCCAACAACGTTGTGCAATCCATTTTATTTGACCAATCAAAAACACTCTCTAGGTAATCAGTTCAGTTTGTAAATTTGATGTGCTTAAATTGAAAACCAAATGCTTTTGTTGAATTTCATGTAAAAATATTTGAAAATTTTTTTATATAAAAAGTATTTCCATAACATGGTATATTATTTTCCCTTCCATAAATGAAGAAAGGATGGCTGTGTTCCTATCTCAGCTCAAGCTACCGGCAGCAATGTTGGCTGCTCAAGCTCATGGGAGGCCCGGTCCACCAGGCAAGGATGGGTTACCTGGGCCACCAGGAGACCCTGGACCTCAAGGTAAGTCTTATAATATTTATTTATCAATTCTTTAACACTCAGTATTTATAGCACGCTAATCACAGTTAAGGATATATATATATATATGGAACACCTTAATATTTGACCTTCTAGAAATAAATTGTTGCTCCTTCAAATTTAAAACTGATAATTATCTGCTAATCTAAATGTATTTTAATAATAATATTTGTTATAATAACAGTAGAAATATATGCTTATATATCATTATTATCTGGGCATCTCAGAGTTGGTTGTGCCTTCCTAACAATATAAGTAGGCAAGAATCATCTTAGTATCTTAAAGAAACTGAGGAAAAAGTTTTAAGAGATGCTACTATAAGTAGTCATTTGGAGCCAAAATATATTTTTGAGAAATTTTAGAATCCTTTTCCTCCTCATAGAGCTTGTGGATGACAACTTTTGAAGTTTAAAGAATTCTCATAGGGTTTCTAAAATGTTTAAAGCAAGACTTTACTTAAAATGGCAAAAAAAAAAAAAGACAACCTTACAAGAGACAAAATCTTGGATGTAGCTTGACTAAATTGATCTGGCAAGCCCATTTTCTAGAAATATGTTAGCAATCAACAAAGGGGCCAAATAGACCCTGGTTTAGAAGATTCACAACTCTGACAAGGAAATATTAAATCCAGTGAGTACATACCATGAAAGATAAGACCAGGGAAACTGCTTTGCTTGTGCTACCACAGAGGAGCTCAAGGCTTTCCTTGAAATTATCAGAAACTTGTATAAAGGAGAAAAGGGAAAGTTAACACCAAAATTACATAGGAATACAGTCCAAAACACCACATATACAAGGAATTGTTTTTCTTTCGCTAGTTCATTTTCCTTCCTATTGCTCCTCTATAACATAGAGCCTTGTTTTCTGTAGGAAGTGCCCCAAAGTGATTGATGTGTTTTCCCTCATCTGAAAAAACAACTGTCCCCAATTACAGGGTCTGTTAGTGTCTTAACTTACAATCGAGAGTAGCAAGGTTTCTGGTTTAGTTAGCACAGTATAAACAACAACAATAAACTCATTCTAGTTTACCTAAACAGTATATTCTACTTTTCCCACATTTCATAGAGAGATTTGGCACATAGTTGGAAGAATAAGTATCGAATCGGTGTAAACTTCTGTGTGTGCACTGCTGTGTCGAGGGTGGTTATTATCTTTTGCTAGTTGGGTCTGTTCTGCAGTCAGTTTATGAGACTGGAACGAAGAGCTTGAAAGCCCATCTGAAGATGTGTAATACCTCAAACAATGTGAAAAATAAGGACTGTTAACACCAGTAGGAGAAAAACTTTGGATAGATGCTTCAAACAGTAGCAGTCTCCAAGGATAAGAACAGTGGAAGGTCCAGATGTCAAGGAATACCTCCTGGGACTGGAGCCACCTGTCGACACAAACATTTGTCTCCAGGCTCCCTTCCCATGTAGGGAAGGTCCACCTGGAAGGCTGTCAGTCAGAAGCAACGCTAAGTCAACAGTATCAGTGAATTTTTTGGAAACAAGACTTGAATTCACCACTTGAGTTACCTTCCATTTTGTGAAGGATTTCCATGGATTTTATCTGCAGTTCTGCCGAGGAGATCTTATAGAATATTTCTTAGGGCAGATGGGCTTTGGGTGCCATTCTTGAATTTGAAAGATTTCCCTAAAATGATTTTCAAGTTTTATAAAACCCAGGTTTAGTAAACTTAACAAAACTTTTGTCTCACTGGAGGCTCTCTGACAACAGACCTATCTTGACTATAATTCAGTTAGGTGGCTCCTCTGGTTTGCATGATATCTCCTTTCCAGTATTTTCCAAATGCCAGAAATGCAGCAGAAAAATAAAACTTGCAAAATATGGGATTCATTTTTTTGAGTAATATTTACCTGTTGTCATGCTATACTGATAATCCCCTCTAAAGCCACAAAGAAATTTGACAAAAAATTAAAACAAGGGGCTGCAGTTTGGTGTTTGGTGCCTCTGCAGGAGTTCACAAGGAATTGAAGGGCTTTTCTCTGGTAGATAAAATAGATGTGAATTGCTCAGAAGATGAAGTTATGCATGTAATTTCAAAGCTTTGTTCCTCAATTTAAAAGTTTTCTCAAAAAGGAAAGAAAATAATGCATATAAAACTGCTACCCTAGTGGCCATGCAAAGTTCAGTTGCTGTTGGCTGACTTAGTCCTCTTCATCATTGAGTTTGAGAGAAAGTGGAAGTAGAAAAGGCAGCCCAGAAAGGGGAAGGAAATACGGGCACAGAGCAGCAGTGTGTTCTGCCCACTCACGAGTTCTGTTTGATGGTGGCTCTTCTGAAATTTCTAAAGGAGATACTTTTTTCAGTGTTTTTCAGGAAACAAATCCATTTTCATTTGCAATAAAGAGGTTTGGTTTGAAATATGAACTAAAGAATGATCCTATATTATCTTACTATCTTTAGGGAAAGACAGGAAATTTAAGCAGTCTCATAAGTTTCCTGAGAAGCAGGAGACATGTAGAGTGCAAGGAGAAAATTGATGTGAGGCTATTAGAAGCATGTGATCCAAGTTAAAAACGGAGTACTGTTCCTACCAAAATTCTGATACCAGAAACTGGTGGACCCTCTTTCAGGACCCTGGGGTCTCACAGTGAGGATAGAGACCATTATAGTTCAAGTTGAGTCACCTCATTTGCATTTTTTCTAAATTCTCCAAGGGGGTGATTGTTGACAACTTCTTAAACTCAAAAGCATTTCCAGACAGTTTTATATTTTAACCATCCCATGGGTTTTGACTATCGCCTTCCTATTGTGCACTGAGAAGAGAATTTTCCTTGGTGTGCTTTCCCACCTTGGGTCTGCAGAGTAGGGCCGATTGCTGCTGGGGTGTCATATTAGGATCAAAGAAGCCCCAAGAAGCATAATCTAGCTGAGTTCCACACATACACAAGAAAGCAAATTTTCCTAATGTGGAGTTTTATGAGAAAGAGCTTTACTTAAACTGTTTGTACAGTCGGTTCTCCACCTCTAGGAAAACCCTGAAGATCACATGCCACACTTGAAAGCCCTGTCCATTCAGAAAGAACCCCACACACTGAATGGATGTGGAGCTAGGGAAAAGCAGATCCAGCCATTTCATGTGCCTTCCATCAGCTTTGATAGGAAACCATTGGAAACGGTTGTTCTTATATTTGAACTTTTAAAGCTTAGCTGTTATTGGTTTATAATGAAGGAAACCTTCTGTTATTTGTAAGCCAGTGGCCCATAAGGTAGCTCACGTGACTGATATAGATTTGACCTTTTAAATTTGTTAGCAGTTGGGGGCTGAGGAAGTGAGAGGCATGTGTGTGTCAAAATGACTGAAGCACTATGTGGTCACCAGTAGGCAAGAACAGGGAGGCCAAACAACTCATATGGCTCACAGCAGGCCCCACATCAATAACTGTCCTCCCAAAACGCCAGTAACACTCCTTGACTGGCCTCATTTGTCCAGTGTGTATGTAGATGCACAGATTTACAACTTTGGAACTAAATCCCTGGAGTTGAAATGGAAATCTGTGTACTGGAAACAAATAATGTCTACCATCTGAAAAACTACGGCAAGCACCAAATTTGTTCAATGACCAGTACCTCTATATGCTCCAGATTAGGACATTGCTGTTGTTTGATTTCTCTTCTCCTACATAAGCTACAGTGATAGCAAACTGTCATCCTGCATACTTATAAGCCATGAAAATGCATGTCCATTTACAGATAGACCAGCCTTTGAGTCTTTTCTAAATTTCAGGCGAGACCTACCCTACCTGGGTGAAAAGCTTAATTCTAGAAAGTAGGAAAGTTGTTATTGACTTTATTAGCATTCCTATCTGAAGTTTTGTTGTGAAACAGTTATAAAATAAAAACCTATGGCTCTATGGCAGCCTTCATAAGGAATGAATTTGGGACCTTTTCAGGAAATTTAAAAGTAGAAAGCTCTTGTGGGCCTGTGCAATTCAACAACTTTATCTATTAATAGTACATTGTTATTAATCTAATGAGCTGAGAGATTTATAGAAATAAATTATTACAGCCAATAGAAGTGTAAATGTTACCGCATTAGACAAATATACAAATTATCCTTTCTTGTTTTGTGATACCATAGACACTTAAATCTGTGTGAATAAGATATTTTTGCATTATATTAAAATTTGAAAACTGAATTTAAATATGTAGGTTTCAGCCGGCCTGTTCTTCATTTGGAATTGTGTTACAGTCTTATTAACCCTCTTGTTAATTCAAAGTTCAAATATCTTTATTTTATGTCTTCCTCATTTTTTAGCCTAAGATCTTAAGCACTTACTAGGATAGGTTGAGAGCCAACTTTATAATCATTCTGTAGTAGTAAAATTTAGGTTGGACTATCAGACATACCTCAGGTAGTAAATGTTATTTTACGGCAGAAATGTTTAAATAATGAATTTGGAAGGATGCTTTCAAAATGACCCTAAGTACAAACATTTTTCCTTGTTGTTTACATATGTTAAATGAAAGTCACTTATATAAAAGAAGCCCTGGTAATATTTTAAAATTGAATATGTATCAACTTAGGGTATTGTACCACATGTTCAAGCCACTGTTCTCTCCAGGATCTAGGATTGTTTGAATATCTGTAACATAGTGTTCAGACATAAATATGTGAAGATTTCCCACTGAATTTATTTCCAATATGTGCCTCAAAATATATCCTGAATGTATATCCTTTCTCCACTATTTTCACATGTATCAGGTCATACCTCCAAAGCCAAGAAATAACAGTGTGGTGATTACAGTACTAATGTTATTTTGATAATAATGTATAGACACTGTATGGTCAAGTCAAGACTGAGAATGGTAACCCCAAAACAGATGTCTAATTCTCAACCATAATGAGAAATAATTCGTCTTACATACTGTTCATAGAGACCATTACAATTTGTCCTCCTATCATGTTCGGCTGTCATAACACATCTTTATAGAAAGGCACAATTTAGTTAAGGCCTATTGTTTCCTATTGAGATACTCTCCTACTTACTAGCCTTGCTGTGTTTCTGCATGATTCTGCATGACTGCTCTGCTCATTTGGGACTAGAAGCCATCTTTAAGCTTGTTTAAGTAGGACAAAGTTGAAAACTAAAGCTCTATTTATGATCACTGTTATAGCCACAGAACGTTTTCTTCAAACAAAGCCTTACACGGATGCCAGTATATAAAACACAGACCAAAATTGTTTTATGCTTTTTAAAAGGCAGGATAAGGGCCCCCAGAACACAAATTGCTCTCTGCATTTCTAGCTCAGGTGACAACAAGCATATTCAAGAACAAGAATGATTTTTATGTTAAAATGTACAGAGATCTTAGACCTAATTTATTTTGGTTAAAGCACCTTAAATTGATGATGTGAGTTTAGTCTCCTCTTCCTTTCTAGAATTGTTGGGGCTCCTCATCCTTTGAAGTTATAACCCTCCATGTTAAAATGTAGGGGTGCTGTTTTAATGTTGGTACAGACAGTAGTTTGAACAAAAACCTGATTTTGTCCTCTCCTGACGCCTGAGAGGGGTGGGTCACATATATTCACACTCTTACTGTCATTTATTAAAATTATGAGTTTGTGTTCCTTTCATTCCCTTTAATTCTTGGACTGAGGTCCAACTTCTTATTGTCATATTATCCTGTCTTTGTAGTAAGCAGACCTCCTTCAGTATACCGTAGTGTTGGTTTTTTTTGTTTGTTTGTTTGTTTTTAGCTGAGCCATCCTGCCACCTGTTGGCAGCTCAGCGGCTGCTCAGCTCAGGCCGGGAATCAAACTGGCAACCCTGTTGCTCAGAGCTCGCACTCTTGAGCGAGCTCTTAACCAACTGAGCCACTCGGCTGGCCCAGTATACTTATATTTAGCCTGTACCTACTCCCCAGTCAGAATTCCTATTGAAGGGGCTCACATATTTTGTCATAGCTATTTGAAAGAAGGTATGAATGATTTATTTGACTCCTTTAGGTATGATTTTCAGTGCCAAAAATCTCACTATCAAAAGTTTGACTAGTTGAAACTTTTTATAGTAGTTGCATATTTCTAAGATCCTCATTGCCTATTGCCTCTAATCTGTTTGATATGTAAGTATCATAAGCGGTTAATGCAAAACAGAGAGCTAATATGCCATTTATGTTAAGTGAAAGAGTTACATAAATATCCTACCCTAAAACATGGTTCTTGTATGTGTTGTTTTGCCATAGAACACTTACTTTTTGTGTCTCTCTTTTTATATATCTCTCCCTTAGGCTACCGAGGCCAGAAGGGAGAAAGAGGGGAACCTGGAATTGGGCTTCCAGGGAGTCCGGGCCTTCCTGGGACTTCAGGTAATAGTGATATTTATCCTCACAACACAAGCACACTTCTGAAAANTAAAAAGTATTTCCATAACATGGTATATTGTTTTCCCTTCCATAAATGAAGAAAGGATGGCTGTGTTCCTATCTCAGCTCAAGCTACCGGCAGCAATGTTGGCTGCTCAAGCTCATGGGAGGCCCGGTCCACCAGGCAAGGATGGGTTACCTGGGCCACCAGGAGACCCTGGACCTCAAGGTAAGTCTTATAATATTTATTTATCAATTCTTTAACACTCAGTATTTATAGCACGCTAATCACAGTTAAGGATATATATATATATATGGAACACCTTAATATTTGACCTTCTAGAAATAAATTGTTGCTCCTTCAAATTTAAAACTGATAATTATCTGCTAATCTAAATGTATTTTAATAATAATATTTGTTATAATAACAGTAGAAATATATGCTTATATATCATTATTATCTGGGCATCTCAGAGTTGGTTGTGCCTTCCTAACAATATAAGTAGGCAAGAATCATCTTAGTATCTTAAAGAAACTGAGGAAAAAGTTTTAAGAGATGCTACTATAAGTAGTCATTTGGAGCCAAAATATATTTTTGAGAAATTTTAGAATCCTTTTCCTCCTCATAGAGCTTGTGGATGACAACTTTTGAAGTTTAAAGAATTCTCATAGGGTTTCTAAAATGTTTAAAGCAAGACTTTACTTAAAATGGCAAAAAAAAAAAAAGACAACCTTACAAGAGACAAAATCTTGGATGTAGCTTGACTAAATTGATCTGGCAAGCCCATTTTCTAGAAATATGTTAGCAATCAACAAAGGGGCCAAATAGACCCTGGTTTAGAAGATTCACAACTCTGACAAGGAAATATTAAATCCAGTGAGTACATACCATGAAAGATAAGACCAGGGAAACTGCTTTGCTTGTGCTACCACAGAGGAGCTCAAGGCTTTCCTTGAAATTATCAGAAACTTGTATAAAGGAGAAAAGGGAAAGTTAACACCAAAATTACATAGGAATACAGTCCAAAACACCACATATACAAGGAATTGTTTTTCTTTCGCTAGTTCATTTTCCTTCCTATTGCTCCTCTATAACATAGAGCCTTGTTTTCTGTAGGAAGTGCCCCAAAGTGATTGATGTGTTTTCCCTCATCTGAAAAAACAACTGTCCCCAATTACAGGGTCTGTTAGTGTCTTAACTTACAATCGAGAGTAGCAAGGTTTCTGGTTTAGTTAGCACAGTATAAACAACAACAATAAACTCATTCTAGTTTACCTAAACAGTATATTCTACTTTTCCCACATTTCATAGAGAGATTTGGCACATAGTTGGAAGAAAAAGTATTGAATCGGTGTAAACTTCTGTGTGTGCACTGCTGTGTCGAGGGTGGTTATTATCTTTTGCTAGTTGGGTCTGTTCTGCAGTCAGTTTATGAGACTGGAACGAAGAGCTTGAAAGCCCATCTGAAGATGTGTAATACCTCAAACAATGTGAAAAATAAGGACTGTTAACACCAGTAGGAGAAAAACTTTGGATAGATGCTTCAAACAGTAGCAGTCTCCAAGGATAAGAACAGTGGAAGGTCCAGATGTCAAGGAATACCTCCTGGGACTGGAGCCACCTGTCGACACAAACATTTGTCTCCAGGCTCCCTTCCCATGTAGGGAAGGTCCACCTGGAAGGCTGTCAGTCAGAAGCAACGCTAAGTCAACAGTATCAGTGAATTTTTTGGAAACAAGACTTGAATTCACCACTTGAGTTACCTTCCATTTTGTGAAGGATTTCCATGGATTTTATCTGCAGTTCTGCCGAGGAGATCTTATAGAATATTTCTTAGGGCGGATGGGCTTTGGGTGCCATTCTTGAATTTGAAAGATTTCCCTAAAATGATTTTCAAGTTTTATAAAACCCAGGTTTAGTAAACTTAACAAAACTTTTGTCTCACTGGAGGCTCTCTGACAACAGACCTATCTTGACTATAATTCAGTTAGGTGGCTCCTCTGGTTTGCATGATATCTCCTTTCCAGTATTTTCCAAATGCCAGAAATGCAGCAGAAAAATAAAACTTGCAAAATATGGGATTCATTTTTTTGAGGAATATTTACCTGTTGTCATGCTATACTGATAATCCCCTCTAAAGCCACAAAGAAATTTGACAAAAAATTAAAACAAGGGGCTGCAGTTTGGTGTTTGGTGCCTCTGCAGGAGTTCACAAGGAATTGAAGGGCTTTTCTCTGGTAGATAAAATAGATGTGAATTGCTCAGAAGATGAAGTTATGCATGTAATTTCAAAGCTTTGTTCCTCAATTTAAAAGTTTTCTCAAAAAGAAAAGAAAATAATGCATATAAAACTGCTACCCTAGTGGCCATGCAAAGTTCAGTTGCTGTTGGCTGACTTAGTCCTCTTCATCATTGAGTTTGAGAGAAAGTGGAAGTAGAAAAGGCAGCCCAGAAAGGGGAAGGAAATACGGGCACAGAGCAGCAGTGTGTTCTGCCCACTCACGAGTTCTGTTTGATGGTGGCTCTTCTGAAATTTCTAAAGGAGATACTTTTTTCAGTGTTTTTCAGGAAACAAATCCATTTTCATTTGCAATAAAGAGGTTTGGTTTGAAATATGAACTAAAGAATGATCCTATATTATCTTACTATCTTTAGGGAAAGACAGGAAATTTAAGCAGTCTCATAAGTTTCCTGAGAAGCAGGAGACATGTAGAGTGCAAGGAGAAAATTGATGTGAGGCTATTAGAAGCATGTGATCCAAGTTAAAAACGGAGTACTGTTCCTACCAAAATTCTGATACCAGAAACTGGTGGACCCTCTTTCAGGACCCTGGGGTCTCACAGTGAGGATAGAGACCATTATAGTTCAAGTTGAGTCACCTCATTTGCATTTTTTCTAAATTCTCCAAGGGGGTGATTGTTGACAACTTCTTAAACTCAAAAGCATTTCCAGACAGTTTTATATTTTAACCATCCCATGGGTTTTGACTATCGCCTTCCTATTGTGCACTGAGAAGAGAATTTTCCTTGGTGTGCTTTCCCACCTTGGGTCTGCAGAGTAGGGCCGATTGCTGCTGGGGTGTCATATTAGGATCAAAGAAGCCCCAAGAAGCATAATCTAGCTGAGTTCCACACATACACAAGAAAGCAAATTTTCCTAATGTGGAGTTTTATGAGAAAGAGCTTTACTTAAACTGTTTGTACAGTCGGTTCTCCACCTCTAGGAAAACCCTGAAGATCACATGCCACACTTGAAAGCCCTGTCCATTCAGAAAGAACCCCACACACTGAATGGATGTGGAGCTAGGGAAAAGCAGATCCAGCCATTTCATGTGCCTTCCATCAGCTTTGATAGGAAACCATTGGAAACGGTTGTTCTTATATTTGAACTTTTAAAGCTTAGCTGTTATTGGTTTATAATGAAGGAAACCTTCTGTTATTTGTAAGCCAGTGGCCCATAAGGTAGCTCACGTGACTGATATAGATTTGACCTTTTAAATTTGTTAGCAGTTGGGGGCTGAGGAAGTGAGAGGCATGTGTGTGTCAAAATGACTGAAGCACTATGTGGTCACCAGTAGGCAAGAACAGGGAGGCCAAACAACTCATATGGCTCACAGCAGGCCCCACATCAATAACTGTCCTCCCAAAACGCCAGTAACACTCCTTGACTGGCCTCATTTGTCCAGTGTGTATGTAGATGCACAGATTTACAACTTTGGAACTAAATCCCTGGAGTTGAAATGGAAATCTGTGTACTGGAAACAAATAATGTCTACCATCTGAAAAACTACGGCAAGCACCAAATTTGTTCAATGACCAGTACCTCTAGATGCTCCAGATTAGGACATTGCTGTTGTTTGATTTCTCTTCTCCTACATAAGCTACAGTGATAGCAAACTGTCATCCTGCATACTTATAAGCCATGAAAATGCATGTCCATTTACAGATAGACCAGCCTTTGAGTCTTTTCTAAATTTCAGGCGAGACCTACCCTACCTGGGTGAAAAGCTTAATTCTAGAAAGTAGGAAAGTTGTTATTGACTTTATTAGCATTCCTATCTGAAGTTTTGTTGTGAAACAGTTATAAAATAAAAACCTATGGCTCTATGGCAGCCTTCATAAGGAATGAATTTGGGACCTTTTCAGGAAATTTAAAAGTAGAAAGCTCTTGTGGGCCTGTGCAATTCAACAACTTTATCTATTAATAGTACATTGTTATTAATCTAATGAGCTGAGAGATTTATAGAAATAAATTATTACAGCCAATAGAAGTGTAAATGTTACCGCATTAGACAAATATACAAATTATCCTTTCTTGTTTTGTGATACCATAGACACTTAAATCTGTGTGAATAAGATATTTTTGCATTATATTAAAATTTGAAAACTGAATTTAAATATGTAGGTTTCAGCCGGCCTGTTCTTCATTTGGAATTGTGTTACAGTCTTATTAACCCTCTTGTTAATTCAAAGTTCAAATATCTTTATTTTATGTCTTCCTCATTTTTTAGCCTAAGATCTTAAGCACTTACTAGGATAGGTTGAGAGCCAACTTTATAATCATTCTGTAGTAGTAAAATTTAGGTTGGACTATCAGACATACCTCAGGTAGTAAATGTTATTTTACGGCAGAAATGTTTAAATAATGAATTTGGAAGGATGCTTTCAAAATGACCCTAAGTACAAACATTTTTCCTTGTTGTTTACATATGTTAAATGAAAGTCACTTATATAAAAGAAGCCCTGGTAATATTTTAAAATTGAATATGTATCAACTTAGGGTATTGTACCACATGTTCAAGCCACTGTTCTCTCCAGGATCTAGGATTGTTTGAATATCTGTAACATAGTGTTCAGACATAAATATGTGAAGATTTCCCACTGAATTTATTTCCAATATGTGCCTCAAAATATATCCTGAATGTATATCCTTTCTCCACTATTTTCACATGTATCAGGTCATACCTCCAAAGCCAAGAAATAACAGTGTGGTGATTACAGTACTAATGTTATTTTGATAATAATGTATAGACACTGTATGGTCAAGTCAAGACTGAGAATGGTAACCCCAAAACAGATGTCTAATTCTCAACCATAATGAGAAATAATTCGTCTTACATACTGTTCATAGAGACCATTACAATTTGTCCTCCTATCATGTTCGGCTGTCATAACACATCTTTATAGAAAGGCACAATTTAGTTAAGGCCTATTGTTTCCTATTGAGATACTCTCCTACTTACTAGCCTTGCTGTGTTTCTGCATGATTCTGCATGACTGCTCTGCTCATTTGGGACTAGAAGCCATCTTTAAGCTTGTTTAAGTAGGACAAAGTTGAAAACTAAAGCTCTATTTATGATCACTGTTATAGCCACAGAACGTTTTCTTCAAACAAAGCCTTACACGGATGCCAGTATATAAAACACAGACCAAAATTGTTTTATGCTTTTTAAAAGGCAGGATAAGGGCCCCCAGAACACAAATTGCTCTCTGCATTTCTAGCTCAGGTGACAACAAGCATATTCAAGAACAAGAATGATTTTTATGTTAAAATGTACAGAGATCTTAGACCTAATTTATTTTGGTTAAAGCACCTTAAATTGATGATGTGAGTTTAGTCTCCTCTTGCTTTCTAGAATTGTTGGGGCTCCTCATCCTTTGAAGTTATAACCCTCCATGTTAAAATGTAGGGGTGCTGTTTTAATGTTGGTACAGACAGTAGTTTGAACAAAAACCTGATTTTGTCCTCTGCTGACTCCTGAGAGGGGTGGGTCACATATATTCACACTCTTACTGTCATTTATTAAAATTATGAGTTTGTGTTCCTTTCATTCCCTTTAATTCTTGGACTGAGGTCCAACTTCTTATTGTCATATTATCCTGTCTTTGTAGTAAGCAGACCTCCTTCAGTATACCGTAGTGTTGGTTTTTTTTGTTTGTTTGTTTGTTTTTAGCTGAGCCATCCTGCCACCTGTTGGCAGCTCAGCGGCTGCTCAGCTCAGGCCGGGAATCAAACTGGCAACCCTGTTGCTCAGAGCTCGCACTCTTGAGCGAGCTCTTAACCAACTGAGCCACTCGGCTGGCCCAGTATACTTATATTTAGCCTGTACCTACTCCCCAGTCAGAATTCCTATTGAAGGGGCTCACATATTTTGTCATAGCTATTTGAAAGAAGGTATGAATGATTTATTTGACTCCTTTAGGTATGATTTTCAGTGCCAAAAATCTCACTATCAAAAGTTTGACTAGTTGAAACTTTTTATAGTAGTTGCATATTTCTAAGATCCTCATTGCCTATTGCCTCTAATCTGTTTGATATGTAAGTATCATAAGCGGTTAATGCAAAACAGAGAGCTAATATGCCATTTATGTTAAGTGAAAGAGTTACATAAATATCCTACCCTAAAACATGGTTCTTGTATGTGTTGTTTTGCCATAGAACACTTACTTTTTGTGTCTCTCTTTTTATATATCTCTCCCTTAGGCTACCGAGGCCAGAAGGGAGAAAGAGGGGAACCTGGAATTGGGCTTCCAGGGAGTCCGGGCCTTCCTGGGACTTCAGGTAATAGTGATATTTATCCTCACAACACAAGCACACTTCTGAAAATGAAAACCATGCCTTTTCCCCTGTGGCCCTTCTGTGTTGCTACGGGAGAAGTTGAATAATCCATGTTCATTGGAGTGAGGGGGAAAGAGCCATGTATGATCTGCTTTCTGATCGGGTCTTTTATTTCATTAGCTCCAGGTTTCCCAGGCTCACCAGGTGCCCCAGGTCCCCAGGGTCCCCCAGGACCTACTGGAAGATGTAACCCAGAAGATTGCCTCTATCCTGTATCTCATGGCCATCAGCGGACAGGGCGGAAGTAAACACACCTGAGCAAGACTTGATTTTGGGTGATATCTCCTTGCTGCTGGAGCTATCTTAATACTGTCAAACCCTCATGATATGTGAGGCTGTTTTTTGTTTCTTTTTCTGGTGTAGGCAGACATTAAAAGCAACAATTTGAATCCAATTCCTATAGTAATTGCAATAGCATTTTTAGACTTTTCCCCAAATTCATTCCATATGTTTTGCTTCACCGTTACTGATTTTTATTCAGGGTTTTCTATGAAATACATAAGCAAATCTCATCATTAGTTCTTCTTCAAGAGAAAATTACACCTTCTGATTTAGTAGACTGATGGTGATGTACATTTTGTCGTCTCATCAATTTGTATTTGGCCTTTGATTTCTGAATTGTAAAATTTCCGACTTACCCTGAACTTTTTTTGGTGTTTAAATTTACTGTCATTGCTAAAAATTTCATTAACTTTTTTGATATAATGCATTGCTCCTGCTAAATGGTTTTTGACTACTTTTTATAGCTTAAGAATTCTTATACCATCCTACATCCATTCTACTTATGCAGAGGAATAGTTAGGCAATAAGAGTTTCACTTTATAACTTATATTTTGAGAAAAAAAATAAAAGGAGGCTATTTTATCAGGAAGTCCAAAAACACACCATAGCTAACTACTGAAATAATTTTGTTAATTCTGTATAATGAGCTCAATTCAAAGCAATCACCACCAGCATGAATATAGACTGCATGAAAAGAGAGGAACGAAGTCCAACTTACAAACGCTGTGGTCCCTTCACTGAGTTTCTCATTTGGGAAACAAAAAGCTGTTTTCCCTAAGAAGTGTTTGGTGATGAAGGCGCCAAGCTGTCGATGGTACTTTTGAAGCTTAAATGGTCTAGCAAGGTCTTTGGGCTTCTGTATCCATTATCCTTCTGACCTCATCACTCTCAGACTTTAAGACAAGAACCAGCCATCATAACAAAGGATGGGATTTGTACCGACTGAAAAACAAACAAACAAACAAACAAACAACCCTTGAAGATGAATGTGTGGCGTTGGCAGATGCATATGGACAAAGTGAAGCTCAGAAGCTCTTGTGAAGAATCATGTTTCTCCGGAAGCTGCAACAAGAGATACAGGGCAGCAGAGAAAGCCATGAGATCGAATGAATATGCAGCTAACACTCAGACCAAAGAGTTAACACTCACTTCAGGGGATACCACAGGTGCTGCAAAAGCCCATGTCCTCTGACAGGGAACGAAAATACAGTGATCACCAACCAAATCACCAAATGGTATTTTCATTGCCTAGCTGTACATTATTTTGAGAAACTGTGGGTTGGAAACAACTGATTTTCTGGAACATTGAGCATGAGGATGTTGCTGAAATCTAAGTAGTGGGTCCCATAGGTGCTGAGAGCGTGCCGCCCACAGCGCTTCTGTCACAGAAATCAGGAGGTCACACCTCTTCAAGGAACAGAGCAGATTCCAATGTGGCTAAGGCAGGTTAGGATGATTGCTTCTATCTGTTAATTGCAAAATGAGTTTCAAAAGGCAAGCCCGCTGAATTTGGGGAAAGCTGTGAGCAGAGTTGTTTAGGTAGCGTGCCTAAATTAAGACAGGCTTTGTTCAAATGCACCCATGAGTTGAGCTGGTTTTCATTATAGATGAATAAACTGCTGGTCAGGTACTGTCTACATGGCTGTGCATACAGACAACCTTTGGTTATTTCATATTGAATTATGTTGTATATTTCAATTCCAAGTTTATTTATTTTCCAAAGTTACTTTATTTATTTGAAGTGTTTTTAGCTTTCAATTGATTTTTTTCTTTTCCGTGCAATACCTACAATGGTGCTGTGTTTTAAGCTTATACAATTTAATGCATATACATATGCATTTTTAGTAAAATGGTAATTTATCCCCCCAAAAAATGTACAGAGACCTAAATCTGGTGCTATGTGTATATCTTGAACTTTTAATTTGTTAAACTTTAATGTGTCAAATTTTCTGAAAGCTTACTGCCACTCATTAATATACTTGAATTTGTCATAAAGCTAAACATTTTGTTTTCAAAGATTATTTTTCATATTAATAGGTTGTGTATCCTTAGGCCTCTTTGCTAACCCAGAAGTATTTTTTTTAGCATTTTAATGTTTTCATGAACTTTTTTGCTGATGATGATTAATGTATTTTTCTTTATTTTCGTTGAGTCCTTTCATATACATCAAAAGACTTAATTCATTTTCTTGTTTTACAACTTCTGTTCATTTTAATTCCACAGAATATGTCATGCAGCCATTGTTGCAAATTGCATATTTAGGAACCTTTCTTTTTTCTAAATTTCATTAATGCTGGAATGGTTTACTCCTGTTTTAAGAATTTGGATTTATTCAGGTGATTTAAGTAGGGGGCAGAATATAATGGTATATGATGTGTATTACAAAATAGAGCTGTCACAGTGATTCAAGCTCATTTTTTACATAACTGACACATATAACTGAAACTAAACTGTGGCATAACTAGAGAAATAAGACTGTGTCCCCATGGAACAAGCCCCTCTCACCCTACTGTATTATCTACCTTCCAACACTTGTTCCTGTCTCATTTCTGTACACATGAAATGCAACACAGAGCAACAAGCAAGGCTGGGTCCAGCTAATATAAGCATTAAATGAAGTGGAGATTTGGCGTTGGCCTAGTTTTTTTTTTAATAAAAAGAAAGTGGATAATGAAGGCCCCAAAGTAGGGTAGGAAATGTTCCCCTAAATAACTTGGTAGTTGCCAACTCTCTTGTATCATTTGATTTCATTCCAAAACATTTGTTTACTTTCACGTAGATATCAGTAATGTCCACAGCAGGGAAGAAGAATTATCAGATTTCCTGAGTTATCTCTTTTTTGGAGACCAGACAACATAAGTGTTTAAATATGAAATAATTATAGGTTATGATGACAATTAATACTTAAAACTGTGTTTGCCCTGTGAAAGTATGTTTAGATTCCAGTCAAACATTTTATACCAAGATCAGTTAACATTTTTAAATAGAAATCTTTCTGTGCAAAGAATAAGGTAGGACTTCAATTCATATTTAGTGGCCTTTGGAATCTAAAGGAAAAAGGAAGACTCATTCATGAGTTTGTTCATTGTTCTTTCCTACTGAAGATATTAACCATTTTTTCCTAAGCATAACAGAAACATAGCCAGTGTTAGCCTTTGAAATTTTTCACCTGTGATCAATATAATTTAATGACTTTAATTCCATAGATTTATTTCTATATCTTCATGACATTGTTGAAACTTTAAAATTTTAGTCACTTATGTTATATAGCTTAATTATCATAAGATACATTGCCTGTAAAAGTTGTCATTTAATGTTTGGATTATAAAATCATTTTTTATGAATATGTTTTGGGAGTTAAATAAGATTTAGCTTTTCTTATAATATACCTCCTTTTGTCCACAAGATGGTGTTTAAAGCAATTTGAATCAGAAGAACTGAACAGAGTTCCAGAAATGCAAGGGTAGAAACAGTTTAGTGGGCAAGTAAATCAGATCCTTGCCTTTGCACTTATTATTTTTTACTTTTGTAAATAATTTCTTGTTAATTTATGTTTTCTTTATTTATATTTTTTTCTCATTTTAAGTATTTCTTTGAAACAGGCACAATGACCTTTGATTTATTGGCTCTTTCAATTTTATTTCTTCAGTGGATTTATATACCTAGTTAACTTACAAACTTATTATTTATAACTTTAGTTTGTTTGTACACGACCCTCATATTTTAGTGATTAACATGAAAACACCTAAGTAATCATCCTACCTTTTAGACAGCATACTCTCTTTTGACACAGAAGTAAAAAGCATTTAGCTTAATACAAGAAGTTGACCATTTATAAAGTTACACAATATCTAAATCTTCGTATTGTTCAGGGTACTTAAATTTTTACAATTAGATTTATATTATATTTATATTTTTCTAGAACTGTACCAGTATTTACAAAAGTAAGACACGGAAGACTATTTTTCGAAATACCATTTTAATTTTCCTAACATTGGTAATAATATCCTGAGACTTAGAATTTCCAGGTTAAGTTATATGCTTAAATTTTTTCAGTGAGTTCTCATAATAGTTTTACAGATTTGTTCATTGCTCTTGTTCTCTAAATTATTTTTCACATTCGTTCATGTCCACCTTAAGACACAGTGTTTACTGTCATTTTTTTCTTCTTTTTTTTTTTGTCATTGTTTCTTAATGTCCTTTCTTAACACTCTACTATTGAGGAATATACCCCCCTTTTAATAATTTCCTTTCAGAGATTATATAGAATTCTAAGAGGAGGAGATGCAGAAAATAACTGAATTTGTATCTTTTGTGCTTAGATACTTCAAAGTATCTTAGATACTGTATTCATTTGTTTGTTGGCCGGTAAAGGCAGCATTAATTACATTAAATTTGTTTAATTACTAGGAGTCCCAGGAAACAAGACAAATGGATTTCTTCAGTTTTATTGTGTGGAGTAGCTGGAGCTTTAACCCAAACCTTTTCCTCAATAAAATCATGCCAGAGTAGCTGGTCAGTTTAGGTAAGTTGGATTAACACACAGGTGAACACAGAGAAAACTCACTCAGGCAGACCCAGAATAGCAAAAATTTAACTCAAAGATAAGGTAGGCTTATAAAACCAAAGCCAAGACTAAGAAAATCTAGATGGAAAAAAAAGTGATATATGGTACAACTTGAGTTAGCTACTTGCTTCATGAAGTTGTCAAAAGTGAATACTGTTAGTAAGGAAGGAAATTTCACTAAATTTGGGGAGTATTTCAATAAGATTTAAGTTTATCAGAAGGATGTGTGTGGCTTGGCCATAGTAAGCTTATGGGTGGAAAGATGGTAATTACTTTACAACTTTTTATTTTGTTGTATTATTTAAAGTATATTTTAGGGATAAATATTTTTCAGTGTATTAATGTACTTAAGTTCAGATTATTTTATGGCATATTTTATAACTATTTATTTTAAAAATAACATTTAGGATGCATTTTTTTCCTATCTTGTTTGTTCTTGACCTTACCTCATCAAACTATTTTAAGATTTAATTCAACACACTCAATGTTAAGTGGAATGGCACTAGTTTTATTCTAAATCTCACATGGATATCATGCTTTGAGGCCTTGATTCCTATATATTCATGATGTATACTGAGCTTGTCGCTTATGTCAGCAATAAAGAATTTGACCCTAAATCAAGGGATTCTAAGGTGTAGTTATTAATACCATGTCTACTCTTCACCACCTCTTGTGGGCAAAGCACCACACTTCAGTTCCATTCTGTTAAGCCTCAATGACAGGGATGCTCCGAAAGCCCTCAACTCACATACCAAACATGAGGTACACAGATGCCAAGGAACCTGTAATTGGTTTATCGAAGGGTTCTTGTTCATACTGTACTGGTAATTATACTTGTGTTTGTTACACGAATCAATGCTTATTAGTTCATGTAATTAAGTTTATAACCCATTTCCCTGGCAGCTCATTGAAAGCCTGGTCTAATGATTTCGGATGAAAATTATAAGCAGAAGAAAAAGTCAGAGAGCGGGCAGTCCTTTGTGACTTTTGTCCCACAAAGTGATCTTACTAAAATGATTTGAGACTCATTGGTGTAGGGGAACCTGAACAAGATAAGGAGTATCAGAATTAACTTTCTCATAAATATAAAGTCTTTATCATTAGTGATAAGACAATAGATAATAAGAAGTTAAGTACATAGCATGTTTCCTTAACTGAAATTAATCAGATCAAAACATGCCAGTGGATTTATAAGTTTACTTAAACTAGGAAATGATCTATGTAGTTCTTGACTATTCTCATCTTCAGGTCACCTTATGATGTAGTAAATTAACCAGGTGCTTTCTACAGAATAGTCTTTAAGAAAGTCTTGTCACACACAGAATTTCAACTTGGACGGCAAAGACAAATTAAATAAATCTCAAAAACAAAGTTACTTTCTTGGAGCCAATTTCCCTCATTTGTTCTCTCTCTAGTTATTAGAAAACTTGGAGCAAGAGCAAGATGTGAAAGCATGTTAAGGGGAAAATTAGCATGGATTGCCATTTATGAAGACTATTAATATTATTAAGACTAAAAATAAAGCAGTCGGCATCCTGTTTCTGATAATGTAACAAATAGGTTGCACTTCCTCTAGTTAATTATTTAAAGAGTATTTGAGCACGTGTATTTCTACTCATACATTATTATAGTTAACCAATTTTGGTTTAATATTTACTGAGCCATATGCACTTAATACTGCCATGTCCTAGATCACAAGCTTGCTAAAAAGGACTGAGTACACAACTGAAAAGTATTTACTCTATGAAAAACAAAAGAACTTGACCTGTACTTATTGAACACCAATATTATTTTTTTAAAGAGATATTTGAAATAATTTGTGTCCATTGCCCATTTGTAAACAGCAAAATTACTAGTTGGCTAGTATTATTTTTCTTATTATTGCTTTCTCACTCCTTTTTTCAAGGGTACCAGAAAATGTCTAAAAGCAATTTTCTCAATATTTGGTATGATTTTATGTATTTCTAGTGATCTTCCCCCTATATTGGTTTATTTTTTTTAGCTCAGAGATGTTATACATTAGAGACATTCTAATAGCCAAAAAATGAAATACTACAATCAGAGGTGATCTTCTAAAGTAGGGATTTACATTAAGCTTATTTCATGTTGCAAGTAAATCAGATTTTACTAATGATGTTTAAGAATAGCAATATTTGTTTAGTCAGCCTGAAATATAAAGTGTCCATAAATAATTAAATCAGTCACATAACAAATAGGACTACTCTTTCTGCTAGACAGAAGTCAGTTATCCCAAATCATGCCAGTGAATTTATGTGCTCAGACTGGGAAGTGATTTCCATAGTTCTTAACCAACCTGTCAGATATTTGGGATGAAAAGGATATTGTAATGCCACAGAAGCACTGACTAGAAATAAATCAGAAATCATTTGCCCCGAATAACATGCCAGTTTCTAACTACCTTTAATTACTTTCACACTTCTCTCTCAGCAAGTGCTCTAGGTGATACCTCATCCAAGTTTTAAAAATATCTCCAAGAGGTTTTGGAGATTTCTATTTTGCTAGAGAAGGATAATTGGTCTAATTCAATATTTATCAACTCTCTTTCATGGAAAGGATTTGCTGAACGCTTTTCTTTGCAATGTCTCAGTCAAGTATTTATTGCTTCTAAACTATTTCACTTAACTGAATTTATAATGGATTGTTTTCACCATTTGGAATGTGCTAGTTTTACATAATCTATTTGTAAGTAGTTGTTTCCAATATTGCTTAAAGTATCTGTGGAGATTGTTGTACAGCCTTTTATATATCAAGTTTGTAAAACATTTGAATGAACTGTTCTTTGAATTTTTAAAAAATTTTATTATTAATATGATATTATAGAACTGAGAAACATATTTATTTGGTTATCTAATTTTTCTTTTATCATATTTGATTATGTCACTCCAGTTAAAATAAAACCACCTTGGTGAAAAGACAAGGCAATTTCTTTGCATTTATTTGACTATATGTCACAGTACCTGAAAAGGTTTGCCATCTTTATATAAAGATAATTTAAGTAGTTAAAACAGATACCAAAACTATTTCCAAAAGTCATCTACGCCACACAAAGAAAGAACATCTTGGTGTGTGTAAATGGCACTGATCTACGGAGCCACCCTGAAGTCATTCTCCTTAAGCACAATCCATGCTAGACGTAAAGAACGAGATGCCTTAAACAGTTTGAAAAAACTCCAAACACAGATTACACGATGATTGATTTCACCAAGCAAATAGGGCTAAAGTTTTAAATGTATAGAACGTACACATGAGAAAAAGAAAAGTGATGTCAAAAATCCTATTAGGGCTCACTCTCCCTTGAATTGAGAGAATTGAGTTCCATAAACTCACTGAAGACATTGACTATTTTGTGCACTGCACTATATGCCCTGGGACAAGTCATTCATATGCACTGTGAAATAAAATGAATATATTAAGTCTGATTGATAGTTTATACAGATGTTGATAAAACAGCAAGCCAATGTGATTATGTAAATAGTAATAAAGTGCTTGAGTGGTCAGGCAATACCTATCTGATTGATAAGAATACAGTGTTTGAGCTGAGCTGCCATTATAAAGTGTATAAAAAAAACTGGTGAAACATAAATCATTTTTGCAGCGGTGAAGTTCTAAATAGGAAGGAGTTAACAAACCGTTGAAATGAAGGCAGCGGTTCCTAACGGAGCAAGGTTAGGCTTAGGGGATACATGAAGTCTCTGAAATAGTCTGCAAACTGTTTGTGCATATGGATTTATGCATTTTTTCTGGGGTTTAGGTCCATAGCTTTCATTAGACTTTCAAAAAGGTCCATGAAGTTCCCTGCCCCACACCACACACACATACATACAAAGAATTTCTGTCACTGGGTAACATCTTCAGGGGAACAGTAAAGGCTTTTGATTTCTCTGTAGGAAAAAGCATTAACATTATAAACATATGCCTATAGAAACACCAGTAATGTAAAAGTTTTAATGTATCTAAATAAGTTCAGTGACTTCTCTTTATTGAACATGATTATTTACAAGAAAACATGCAAGAGATTAAGAAACCATATTTATTTCTTCTTTGGTACAACCAGAGATGTTACCTCAAACTTTTAAAATAAATAATCTCATCAACAGATCTTACGAATGGCAGGATATTAAAATTCCTTCTTTGCTATTACATAGAAGAACTCAAAATGTTAATAGGTTTGGGATACAGTACAGTTCAACAAAAATTCAGGCTGACTGTGAAACCCAACATGTGCTGTAAGGATATCATTTGATCATTCGCCGTGGCACAGAGCTTTCTTGCCACTCCCAAGAGAGCACATCGATGGGGATTTTAAGCACCAGTTCTATTGACTGTAGTGGGGTTTCTTCATAATTAGTCTGTAATCCTCTATGTAGCTAAACAATAATCTGAGAGCAACATCTAAATAAAAAAATGAAAATAACTACTGCAACTGAGGTACACCAAACAGTTGTTTTTGTTTATTGGCACAGTGGCCCACAATATGTCACATATGTATAACACACTAAAGTTCAAGATCCTGGGAACAGGATAATAAATTTATTTAAAGGGAGGTTTTTCGTTTTTGTTTTTTGTTTTGTTTTTTAACTGATGACTCTGCTGTCTCCCCTCCAAGGGAAAGGAAAGAGGATTTATTGAATAGCACCATTGTTTTAAATCTGATCATCAAGTAGGACTTCTGTAATAACATTGAAGGTAATGTGCTGTCCTGTCTTGCCCAGGTTTTGGGTAGTGTTTCCCCTCCAAGCTCTTTTGCCAGCCGTGGTTCATGTGGACAGCCAAGCAGCACTCAGCCTTTCACGGATCTGGCCCTTTGCTAAAGGCTCGCTGCCCAGCCTGCACTGTGCAGGAGGCTGGCTCACAGAAACCAGCAGGGCCTGCAGGTCCAGGGGGGCCGGGCACACCAGGAATTCCTGCCACCCCTGGAGGGCCTCGCTCGCCATCCCGGCCGTTCCTCCCATAGCTGGCAAGACCTGGGTCACCTGAAACACACAAGAAATGGTAATATGAACAGGAGGACCCTCGAGGCTGCAAACTGGCAGAAAGCATAGGACCCCCACAGCACAGCTGTGTGCACACAGGGGCTTAATGAACGCTTTTGGGAATAATGATGAAGATAAAATTCCTTCACTGGACTTGGGTTTCTTAGATTTTAAAAGTGCAAGACCTCACATCTCTAACCCACATTTCCATCGGTAGAGCTGTACTACCCAATATGGTAGCTTCTAGCCACACACATCTATTAAGCACTGAAATGAGGCTCAGTCAAACTGAGATGAACTGCAAGTGTAAAACACACCTGCAGTATGAAGCCTTGTTATAAAAAATGTAAAATATTTCATTAATAATTTTTGCATTGCATGATAAAATGATATTTGGAACACTATGAGTTAAATAAACTATATTATTAAAATTAACTTCACCTGATTCTTTTGACTTTTTAAAAGATTTTTGTTAAAAATATAGCTAACATACAATATTATATTAGTTTCAAGGGTGCACCATAGTCATTCAACATTTATATATACCTAAAGAAGTGATCACAATGATAAGTCCAGCAACAATCTGACACTGTATCACACTATTATATTATTGACTATATTCTCTATGCTGTACTTTACATCCCCATGACTTGTTTTATACCCTTCCCTTTCCCTCCCCCCTTTTAAATTTATCAATTACAGTTGACATTCAATACTATTTTATATTAATTTCAGGTGTACAACATAGTGGTTATACATTTATATAATTTAAGGAATGATCCCCCTGACTAGTCTAGTACCCACCTGACACTATACATACTTATTACCATATTATTGATTATATTCCCTGTGCTTTACTTTACATCCCCATGACTATTTCGTTACTACCAATTTGTACTTTTTAATCCCATCCCCTTTTCACCCTGCTGCTAACCTCCTCCTATCTATCACCCCAACAAATCTACTACCCATCTGACACCATACATAGTTATTAAATATTATTGACTATATTACTTATGCTATACCCTACATCCCCATGACTTTTGTAATAACAAATCTGTACTTAATCCCTTTCCCTTCTTTCACCCACACCCCCAATGCCCCTCCCATCTGGAAACCATCAAAATGTTCTCTGTATCTATGAGTTTGTTTCTGTTTTGTTCATTAATTTTGTTCTTAGATTCTGCATATAATCAAAATCACATTGCATCTGTCTTTCTTTGTCTTACGTACTCCACTCAGCACACTACCTTCCAGGTCCATCCATGCCATCAAAGATGGCAAGAACACATTCCCATCCATGCCCGAGCAATATTCCATTGTGTATATGTACCACCTCCTCTTTATCCATTCTTCCATTGATGGACACCCAGGTTGTCTCCACATCTTGGCTATTGTAAACAATGCTGCAATGAACATATGGATGCACACATCCCCTCAAACTAAAGTTTGGGCTTTTTCAGAAAAATACCCTGAAGTAGGTTACTGGGTCCTTCTTTGTCTCTTGTTATAGACTTTGTTTTAAAGTCTGTTTTGTCTGGTATAAGAATTGCTACTCCAGCTTTTTTTGTTTTTTGTTTTTTGTTGTTTTTCATTTTCATGAAATATCTTTTTCCATTTCTTTACTTTCAGTGTGTCTTTCAATCTGAAGTGAGATTCTTGTAAACAGCATTATGTAACGGTTTTGTTTTCTTATCCATTCAGACTTCCTATGTCTGAGTGGAGCATTTAATCCATTTACATTAATTGTTGATAGATATCTACCTATTGCCATATTATTATTTATAATTTTGATCTTTTTTTTCATTTTAAAGAAGTCCCTCTAAAATTCCTTGTAATACTGGCTTTGTGGTGATGAATTCCTTTAGCTTTTACTTGTCTGGGAAGCTCTTTACCTGTCTTTCTATTCTAAATGATAGCCTTCCTGGGTAGGTGCTTACTTTTCATCAAGTTGAATATTTCATGCCAATTCCTTCTGGCCTGCACAGTATCTGTTGAGAAATCAGCTGACAATCTTATGGGAGCTCCCTTATGAGTTACTAGTTGCCTTTCTCTTGCTGCTTTTAGGATTCTCTCTTTGTCTTTAACCTTTGCCATTCTAATTATGAGTCTTGGTGTGGGCCTGTTTGGGTTCACTTTGTTTTGGACTCTCTGCATTTCCTGAACTTGTATGTCTATTTCCTTCACCAGGTTAGGAAAGTTTTCAGTCATTATTTCTTCAAATAAGTTCCCCTCCTGGTACCCCTATTATATGAATATTGTTAAGCTTGATGTTGTCCCAGAGGTCTCTTAAACTCTCCTCATTATTATTATTATTTTCTTTTTTATTCTGCAGGGGTTTTTTTTTGTTTTTTATTTATTTGTTTGTTTGTTTTTCTGTTCTGATTGGATATTTTCTGCTACCTTGTATTCCAAATTACTGATTCAGTCCTGTGCTTCATCTAGTCTACTGGTGATTCCTTCTAGTGCATTCTTCATTTCATTTATTATATTCTTCACTTGTGACTGGTTCTTTTTTATGGTTTCTATGTTCTTTTTCATGCTTGCTCTCTCCCTGTTGAAGTTCTCACTAAGTTCCTTGATCATCCTCATAAACATTGTTTTGAACTCTGACTGTGGTAGGTTGCTTGCCTCCATTTCATTTAGTCCTTTTCTGGATTTTGCTCCTGTTCTTTCATTCAGGATGCATTTATTTGATTCCTCATTTTGGCTGCCTCTCTGTGTTTGTTTCTATATAGAGGTAGATCTGCTATGTCTCCCAGTCTTGACCAGGTAGCCTAATGTAGTAGGTGCCCTGTGGGGATCCCAGTGGCACAGTTCCCCTGGTCACCTAAGCCAGGTGCTCCAGGAATGCCCCTTGTGAGGGTTGTGTGTGCCCTCCTGTTATAACTGAGCCTTGATTGCTATTGGCACATCAGTGGGTGGTATTGACCCTCAGGCTAACTGGCTGCAGGGTTTGGCCACATCCACAGCTTATGGGCTGCTGTGAGAGAGGCTTACCCCATTGAGTGGGATTAGCCCCAGCAGGCTCTTGTGCCTGTTGAGACCACTCTTTGTATCTGCATCTTATCAGGCTAATTGGGCATTGCTCTGCCGTAGACTGAAGACATCCTCCAAGTATGTTGGTTCTGGGGCCTTTTGGAAAGGGCTCTGATGCGGGCCCAGGTCAGCCACTACCTGTGACTGGCCAGGGACACGTGTTAGGAGCTACAAAGTGATCCACAGTTGTTGGCTGGATATGATAAACCTGGAAGCATGTGGGAGAAGCCACGCTGTGACCTGAGGTCGTCTGCCACCAGTTCCAAGCCTAGGCTAACTCTGCAAAAAGCCAGGCCACCCAGGGGCCTGCTTCCAGCTGCCAGCTCCAGTATGGTTCAGCCACTGATAAATCCTCATGCAGTACTTAAGTGAGGCAGGGTCCTAAGGCGTCACTAAAGTGAGAAGAGTTGTGCTCACCTGGTTAATTAATGTAGACTCTGGTTTGGTGCCAGTGACTCAGCAAAAATTTCAGAGCACACCGATTTCAATCACTGCCCACCTTGGGCGTGTGGATTCTGATAGGTTTTCAAGAAAGAGTCCAATGTGGGAGGGGCTGGCTGCTCATGGAGAAAATGCCTCCAGAGGTGGCTAGTTGCAGGGGAGAGCGAGGGGCAGTGTCCCAGTTGAGTCAACAGGGAGGAGCAGTGGAGCTCACCAGACCAATCAGATTCATATTTGGCCTGCGGGGGCAGGCTCAACACAGGAAATATGGTGCTTGCCTGCCAGCTACATGGGAAGAGGACCCACCTCTCACAGGGAAAATGCTACCTGTCCTCCAGTCCTCCACCTGAGCCACACTCCTCAGTCTGCCTCCCGTATATTTCTGATACCACCTGAGTCACCGTCTGTCTGCTGGAGCCCAAGGTAAGTGCCTGTGAGCGAGTCAGCCTGTGCGTGGGGGGTTAAGAGGACATCTTGGTTTCCTGCAGCCTTCCATCCCACCCGAACATTTGGAATCCACACTATTTTTCAGTCAGATGTTGTGGCTCCTCTTCCCAGAACCAGTACTCTGGCTGGGGACCCTGGTGTGGGGGTTCTTCCCCGGAGGGAACCTCCAGGGCTGAGGTATTCTTCCTGATTTTCAACTGCCACAGAGGTTTGGGGCCTGTTCCGGTCTCTGCCCCTTCTACCAGCCCCAACATGGCTTCTTTTTTATATTTTTAGTTATAGCACTTCTGTTTAGCTAGACTTCAGATGGTTCTCCAGGTTGACTGTTCTATCATTTAGTTGTAATTTTAATGCGTTCATGGAAGGATACAGGTACAGTGTTTACCATCTTGGATCTCCTCTTTTTGACTTTTTTAATGTTGCTACTAGAAGATTTAAAATTACCCACGCAACTGGAATTTGTGGTTCCCATTACATTTCTTTTGAACAGTACTCTAATAGCAGCATCCTTTATTTCTAATAAGTGATCAATATCCAGACAGGAGTAAATATAGCTCAGTGGTTAGAAGAACAAGTTTTGGAGACAGATGGCTCTAAGTTCCAGTGCTTCTTTTCATGGATAGGATGACATTAGCAAGTCACTAATCTCTCTGTTTCTAATGGGATAATGCCTTCCTTATAATTAAATTCATGCTTCAAAGCATCTAATGAATAGGAACAATTATTATGATTATGAGGATATTATTGATTAATATCTTTTGAAAAACCATGGCAATGTACCCTGCAAAATTCCATTGTACCCCAATGGGAAATTCACTGCAGTCTTAGTTCCTTTAGGGCATTTCTTCCTTTTGTCTCATTCAAAGTTGTTTGGTTCACCCATTGAGGTACCCATAACAAAGAGGGGTTTCTACTGAACATTTTCCCCATCACACCAGCCAGGCTTTCATATTATTATTGCAAAGGTGGCAATAAGAGACCAGTGTAAATCAAATTGTATATGTGATGATAATATAGTTTTATAGAGAGCCTCCTTCCATCTCAGCCATCTTAATTTATCCATTCAGCCAAAA